TACAAGACTCACAACTAATTTCTGATAAAATAAAATGATGAATTGATGTTTTCATCTATGGTTAATTTTTATATATAATGAATTCTCTCTTATCAGCAAGAATAAGACTAACAGAATAAATTCCACCCTTTTTAAATAAAGTCAACCGTAATCTTGTAGATATAGTCAAGCCAAAAATAAGCAAAAAACCTTGTAGATAAAAACGTGACTATAGAAGAATTACTTTTGATTGAAGCCGGCAATACACACACATGATCTATTGATATTGAATATGGAGTTAGGGTTAAATTTTTTATATTAACAAAAATTTGGATGAATTGACTTTTAAGGCTCATCAAGATTCTCATGTTTCATTACCCACAAAAGTAGGTTTTTGAGGGAAAATCACAAATAAGGACATGTGAAAATGAGAAATTACTATTCAGGACCATCAAATGTTGAAATTAATTTTAGGATCATGAACCTCTTTTTTTAAGTTTTAAAAATAATCTTTGACTAAAATATCATTCCTTCATACTTGTGCCTTGTCTTCTTTTCAACTTTAATTCTTCTCATTCTTTTTTTATTCATTCTTGCTTGTCATTCAATTAGACGATGTTGTTAGCCTACAAAGTTGCACTAACAGAGCCCTACTTGGACATCTTCAACTCTTGGATCGATACAAATTGTTGACTCGGCTAGATCGAAGTCACTTGTGACCCCTCCATCGCCCACATAGCTAACATCAACCTTGTGACAAGTCAAAGAACATGATATTCAAAAAAGCTGGCCGCTTCGGCTACATGACTCTGCACCATGTAACACCTAATTATTTTAAATTCAATTAACTAGTGGATTAATGTTAATTTTTTTTAATCTTTGGTAGAAATAAATATTTTTTGTGAAGATTGAAGTTACTGCCATAATTGGTCAATCGCTTGATTGGTAGAAGTGAGAGGAGAACCTCTTACCTCTCTATTCTCGTGTTGAATGCTAGTCTTGTATTGACTGGTCAATATAGAGGTCATTCGTGTGAGGACATGATTATTGAAGTCACAACCAGCTGAGGACGAGCATGGAACTTAGCTCTAAATTTTGAAAATTAGATCCGAAATGGGGTGTCTTTGAAATTGTGTCATGGAGCAGCTCTTTGGAGGAATTATAGTGATTTGAATGGATGATCTGCATATCTCTTCTTCTATAGTGCCTTTCCCTTTCTCACGGTTGAAGTATGTAATTGATTTGTGATTGTTATTATCTTTGTGATATATATGCTTGCTTCCATATTGGCATGTTGGATTCCATTCACAACCTTGTCGCTTCGATGCTTATTATGTCTTGGTACAGTTTCTGCATCTCAAAGAGTAGATCTGGACTACGATTATACATGTATGGTTTGCTTTTGATTGTTGTTAGTCTCTGAATCTGGCTTTGATTTTTTTTTTAAGATAGAATTTTCATTAAAAAAATGAAATTATAGGCAGGGGCAATGCATTTAAATTGTATTTATTTATTTATTAATTTCTTCTCTGATGGTAATTTCAGTGATGAAATTTATTCGGATGATGCTAATTTACTTTTGTTATTGATTCCCCTTTGGATCTATTTGGATATGATTCTTGATCGGAGATCTTTTCATAGTTGTGATATACATTTGTCAAGCTTTTGTTTTTCCTCTCTATTTTTTTTAAATAAACACCAATTCTGGAAAATAGTATGCTCGTCCTGATATTGAGTTACCATTAGGTAAATTAAAAATAAAATGTCTGCCCGTAGATATTTTAGACCAAGACACGAGTAAAAGAAGGATTTTTTGTTAAAATATTATTTTCAAAATTACAAAAAAGGCAATGATCTTAAATTTAATTTCAGACATTTTGATTTTAAATAATTATTATTTAAACCTAATTCTGAAGTCACACCTAATTTCAATGTGCCAGTCAGAAACGGAATTTGAAACGCACGCAGTATTTCTAGAAAAATTTGAAGACGTTAGGGTTAGGTTTGAAAATTAGGAATGTTAATTAAATGAGATTACAAATGTCAGAGTTATAGGATACAAAACTTCAAAAATTAAAATAGAAGACGTCTTCTTCAGTCTTCACTTCGGAATTCAGAGATGTGTTTCACAAAATAAACCTACGACCTACCTAGCTACGTTGAATGTTCCATGTCCTACCCTAATGCACCACGTGGACCAATCCTTGATTAATTATATTATTTAGTCACATAGAAAATTCATCAAGCTCATCATTACTTTTTAATCTGTTTCATTACATTTCAACAAATCAGATCCTCACACTAATTAATTAAGTTTTTTTTTTCTTCTTGTTTATCACTTCAGATAATCATTGCCTATGTTTCTAGTCATGAGGTAGGGATATTTTTTATATTATCACTTACTAGTATTTTTTTAGGTTATCACTTTTCAACAAATTCATCTTCACACTATTACTTAACATTATTTAATTAGAATTAATTAACAAGTTGCCTAAAAAATAATTGAACAAATCAGTGTTAGTGCTTCTCCTGATCAACGTCAGAAATGATCACTGTTGTTCAATGACATTGAAAAAAAAGATTAAATGTCAATTTGACCTTCAAATTAAATGACTAAGAATATCCGAAACTTAATTTTTTTATTTTTATTGGATAACGTTCTTCTTTAATTTTGAAAACAGGTCATCTTAGCATTAATAAATGACAAAAAAGATCTCAAAAATTATAAAAATGTTAATTTTTTATTCTTTTATGTAATTTTTTGATCCTGTCTTAATATTTTTGATTATTTTCTATATTTTTAGTCAATTAACATTGAGAATTTTCAAAGTTAAAAAAAAAAGTTACACAAAAAATAAGTTTAAGTCTCAAATGTTCTAAATTTATAGTTTATAGGCCAAATGGCCTTTTAACCCTTGAAAAAAATTAATATGTATTGATATATATAATTAAATTATAAAAAATTGCAACTTATTTTTTCTACATTATACTCCCCTTATCCAAATGTAAATAACTTTTAACAATAATTTACATATCAAAAAAATCTTTCTTTATGAAAATATATGTTTTTTATCTTTAATTCTAATTTCTGACGAGGGGAAAGAAATTTATAAATTCACATACATAAAAATCAGGTTAATAAATGTGTATGGAGGGGTTAAAATGATTTTTTTTTTGCAAATAATAAGTACTTATACTTTTTTTACTAATATTAACTAGGAGAAAATACTACGGCTAATATATAGTTGATTGATGCTTGATACTTTTAGTATATAATGATCAAAAGAAAAAAATTATTGATTCATATAATTTTATAAAATTTTATTTTTATTTATTGTAATTTTTTTAATGTTTTCATTTTTTATGAGGATTAAAAAGATTAAAATCATAGGAACTTAAACAAAAAAAATCTCATCTAATCTTACTCAAATTATATACATTGAAAAAAATTATAAAATTAAATGTAAAATTTAATAAAATATAAAGACGGATGATTGTGTTTCTAATTAATCAAATTCTAATTTAAAACAAGCGAGACATTTTAAACCACGTGTTTGTTTCACCTATGGGAATATATACTTATATATTAAAAATAGTATATTAAAGAATATAAGGACAAGACAATGAAAATGAAGGGTAGTAGTTGGTGCCCACTTTTTTTTTTTAAATTATTTTCCGGTTTGCAGTCACATCAAAGGAACTAATATTTTATATTGAATTTAAAAATATTGGTAATTAAGCTATAGTAATTACAATTAATGGAAATATCACTTCTCAATCTTAAATATATTCTTATAAAGTAAAATCTATATGGGATAAAAAGATAAAGTAAGATAGTATCCTCGACCTTTATATTTTGTAATAGAATAATATTTGAAAAATCTTCCCACATAAATTATTGCTAGTTCTTTTTTATTATAAAAGTTATAATCAATTACACAGAGAATTCATATGATTCATAATTTATGAGAAATACAACTTCATATAATTTATAAATTTTCTGATATTGATTAGATTTTAAAGACATAAATTTTAAAGTTATATTTCAGCTACAATGATCGTTTTACCTGAACGAAAATATTTTATTTTTTTGCTATTTTATTTTATTTTTTAAAGCAAGGTTAAGGTTCAAATGAGCAAGAAGCTTATATACCCAAAAAAAAGAAAACGTTATTAGACCTTAAATTATCAACTGAAGGAATAAAATTAGCTACCAGAACGTTGTGACAAAATAATAGCATATAGGTCAAATAATACTACCTCCCTGAATATTACAAGTCATTTTTATTGAAGTATCATGTTAAAAAATATAAAATTTTAAATTTTTAAAGTATGATAAATAATTTTTTATTTAAATATTCTCAATCAGGAGTATAGTTAATAATATTTTTAATGAAAATACCTTATTAAATAAAGTATGAAAAATATGTAATCTTAAAGATAATTAAATAAATTATTGAGAATATAATTTAATTAAAATATCGGGCTGCAATATTTCGTATTATTCTAGCAAAATATTGAGATAAGCAACACTATTTACATGTTTAATACTATATAATCAAAGTATTTTTTTAACATGTGTTATTTTCTCCATTTAAAATATAAATATTTTTAATTAATTTTATTTTTAATAAAATAATTACTATCTTCTATATCATTTTTATATTTATTCTTATTTAATAAAATATTTTGTTTAAATAAATATAAAATAATTTATTTATTAAAGGCTTTTAAAAAATACAATAATTACACTTTAAAACATTAAAAATATTTATATTTTTAAATATTTAATTTTTTAAAAAATATTTTATACTTTTAAACAGATGAAATATTTTTTAATTTTTAAAAAATATGTTGTTTACCTATTAAACATTGAGGTTAAACAAGTAAAAAATGGTAATAATAGGTTGAAATCAAATAAAAACAAATATGGGTAGCAATAATATATAGCAATAATTAATATTAACCTCACGTGTCGGTGACCTGACTTCTGCTTTTATATCTCACAAGCCTCCGTCCACAGGTCCCTTGCCATTCAACCCCCAAGCAAACAAACTTCAAGTGCCTCCCTCCCTCCCTCTCTCTATGTGTGCGCGCGCGCGCGTGTGTCTGTGGTCTCAGAGGAACTTTGAGCTTTGAAGGAAGGGCATGGTGATTCTGATGGTTGCAGACAAGCAGTGTTGAAATTTATGAACTACAAGGGCTGTTCGTCTTCATCTTCAATAAGCCTGGCAGGATTACGAAGAATCTCAGTGCCACTCAGGCTGAGAAGGAAGACCAGGAAGAAGAAGATCCCCAAGGTCAAAGACAAGTTAATGGATTTCTGGCACAAGATGATTTTTCCTGTTCGCCGTGTCTGGCTTGCTCTCTCTTCTCGCCTCAAGCAAGCTCGCCCCAATGGTACGCTTCAATTCCCTCTCTGTGTCTCTCTCTCTTTCCCTCAGATTCATGTCTTAGATTTGTCTGCAACTTTCTTCTGCACATTCTTCTGAAAGCGTGTTGGTTCATGGAAACAGACGCGTGTACGGACAATTCAACCATATTTCTTTTTTTGGTTTCGGTGGGTGCGTCTGTTCGTCCGTAAATTGCTTTACGTTAAGCAGGTCACTTCAAGGCAAAAGGAAGCACTTTTATTCTGTCTTTTAAATAACTGCATAAATCTTCAGCTATTATTCCTACTTTTTCACATCACCACACAAACACTCACACTGAGAGATTGAGAAATTGATGTTTTTCTTAACCATGAATGAATGAATCTTTTTAAAACTTTGTAAGTGGTAACTAACCTAACCTAACCTATGATCTTATTCTGCCACCGAAGGAGAAGAAGAGTCTAGATAGGATCGACATCTTTTTCAGTGCAACTTTATGCCCTTGTCTGTTACTTTAGTCTTGTAACTTCAAAGTCTATTTTATAAGCACCAATACTTTTTCCTCATACCCACACATAATGGCCTCAAAAGTGGCTTCCCCACCACACACAGCCCAATGAATGACTTGTGACACCAGAGCCAGGTTTGTTGGGTTTGGTCACTGTACAAAGTGATTGAACATTGGATTTTTTTTCCCCTGTTTTTGATTGCAGGGGATGGGCTGCTGAAGCTTCAAGATGATGTACAGACATGTGGGTATCAAGATGTTCAAGTGATGTGGGAGATGCTTAGAAGAACAGAAACTGAGGTTGTGGACAGCCATCAGAAGAGGAAGCAACAGCCATTCTGGGGAGTCTTTGTACTGTCTTCTAATGCTAACCACAGTGATGCTTCATCGGAATCTTCCGAGTCCTCATAGTTGTTGAAGAGAAGCAGACTCATGTTTGATGATGATGATGAAGAAAAGAAGAAGAAGAAGCCTTTACTAATAAAATCTGCTGCTTATGTTTGGATTACCAGCAGTGCAGAGGCATATAACATCAAACATATTGTCAGCTTTCTCTCTCTCTTACAACTGATATATATATATATATACCTACTTTGTGACAGACAGTGATATTTGTAAATACATCAATGTATTGTCAATAGCCAACCCAGAAGCTTTCAGGAATTGCTTCTTGTGGTTTCAGGCTAACTTGCTTCCAACTCATCCCATTCTAAGGTTTTTCCTGTCCTTTTTTTTTTTGGGGTACAAAGGCAAGCAAAAGCTTGAAAGAAAGAAAAAGGAAAAGGAAAAGAGAACAAACAGATCAAAGCCTAAGCATAACGTTTGTCCTCTGAAAACATTCTAAGACAGCCAATCGGAAAACCAGGCACCCAAATAATCTCTGAATGTCCACTATGGCCAATTCTAAGGTTTTTCCTGTTCTGATCATTATTCTTTTGATCAGCTTAAAACAGAAATCTCAAGACCTTTTTGACAGTGAAATGGAACGAATTAACCAAACAAGAGAAAACTATGTAAAGCCAAACAATGGTATAATTAAAATCCAATTCATATTTATATCAAATTTTAACATGGTAATCTCAACTCTTCCGTGGGGGTGAGGAGTTTAAGAGACTCTAATTACTCACATCGAGCCTATTCATGTAAAACAACTTATAAACAAGCTTGGGTCTAACTATAAGCTAACAACCACTAAATCTGTATTCCTCCTAAATAGGCTGAACAATGTTCGATCGGAAGATGGGTTGTATACTCTCATTTGATTGAATTAACAATCTTTATAGTGTCATGTGCAATACTCACTGGGTGAGAAGATTTGGGACATTCAGCGCATCAAAATCCCTCCTAAATAGATCAGAATGAAAAATTAGATTGGAAGATGGGGTGCATATATTCTGTGTGTGTGTTTTTGAATCTACCAGTCCACTTATCAGATAGAATGGCATGCCCATTGAGAGGTTCTAAGGACAAGGTCTTATGGGCCCTACATGTGCTAGCTTTGAAAAAATGCGAATTTGAAGGTGGGGCCCTGAATGGACTTGCAGGGGATACTTTCAATGCATCCCTGAAGTTCCAGCATGTACAGAAACTAACCGATCTATCAGTTGATTTCTAAATTGCAAAGGGCTAAGGATATGGACAAGGAAGCTTGTCTCCTATGAGACGTCAATAACAAACCTATCCAGAAAACTACTACTCGGTGCTTACTCCCATGTCTGCATATTTCATATCTGCATCATCCACACACTTTGAAACATACATAAAAATTAAACTTCATCAGTTTATGGCTTTGTTATCAGCAGAACATGATTTTGGGTTATTCAGAAAACATGATTTTTTGAACTAATGACAAATACTAACAGTCTTAAATCTAGTTTTCTGAAAGATCTGTTCTCATCCATTCATCATGGATGGTGAGATTTTTGTAGCAAAAAAGAAGCATTTATCAATTATTTGAATCTGATGATGAAATGTTAATGGACAGAAGGAAGTGATGATGACTTGATTACATCAGATTGGAACATATGAGGCTAAACTGGGGACATAGTCATGATTTGGTTAACAAGGATAATATTATCAAGTACATGAAAACTTTTTGTTAAAAAAAAAAAAAGTACATGAAAACTTGAGTCGAGTTTCAAAGAAAAATCTTGAGGTAATAACATAACATTGTGGGTAATAGCTATAGAGCTTTAGCCTCGTTTGTTTAAATTTAAAAAATTAAGTGGTTTTTTAGATATTTAGATATTTTATGGATTTTATTAAAAAAATAAAGTAGTAAATTTTTTAAGAATTTAAGAATTTTTTTTACTAATTTTTATTTGAGTTGATATTTTTTCTTGATTTTAATGAAAAGTATTGAAAATGACTTATAAATAGTATTTAATAGAATAAGTTAAAGTATGTTATGTTTTTTTAGAAACATCAAAAGATTTTTAGCAAAATTAAAAGGAGAAGACTTTAGTATTAAGTCTTATATGCTTAATATATTTTTATCCAATTAAATTAGAGCAACTAGATTTTAAAATATTAATAATACTAATAACAAGAATTTATAAATTTAAATTATAAAGTATTAATCATATTAATATGTGGAATAAATAATGTATAAAAAAATTCATATATCTTGATTTTGATGAAAACAAATTCTTAAGTATACGATGTTAAGTATATAAATTTTTATTTTATAAATAAAGTATATAGATTTTTCAGATTAAAATTAAATGATGTGTGTTATATAATACGTAGTTTTAAATAGTTATGTGAGTTATATTTAGATTTTATAAATTTAAATTATTAAAATTATTAAAGTAATGTCAATAGCCAATCCCAGAAGCTTTCAAAAAAATAATTTTAACAATTTAAATTTATTCTTTAAATTATCCAAATAATACCATGTTTCCAACCTTCTAAAGCTTGAACAAACATGATAAAATTTCCAGTTTAACTGTTCATGTTTGGATTGCCAACAGTAGTACAGAGGCAACTTTCTTTGTGTCTCACACTGATTGCAGACCTGCTTCGTGTCAGACAGTGATATTTGCAAATACACCATTTGATTGTCAACAACCAACCCATAGGCTTTCAGGAATAGCTTCTTCTGGTTTCAGGTTAACTTGATTTTTGCTTCTCTTTTTAACTGACAAGAATATCTGTGTTAATCTACAATGCCCTCTGGGTAATAATTATTCATACCATCAGCATAAAATTGAAATCTTGGGACGATGAAATGAACTGCTCTTTGTTTCTGAATCAAGCAATTCAGAAAGGCCAAAAGATAATCTCAACTTGTGTTGAGTTGGTTAAGAGTATCAGCTAAGCTTAAGGCAGGAGGAATGAAGAATAAAGTTAAATTTGAACAAGGGTGTATTTCTCTCTCTCTCTGTTTCTGAAACTACCCATCTATTTATCAGATAAGATGACATGTCCATTGAGAGGTTCTAAGGTTGTGGACCGACATATGCTAAGTTTGAAAAGTGAAAAATTTGAAGGTGGGGCCTACAATGGACTTGGAGTGGACACTTGTAATCCATGTTTTGTACAGAAAATACCCTATCAGATGATCTCTAAATTACAAAGGACAGAGCATGGACAAGGAAGCTTGTCTCCCATGACAGGTCAATAACAAAGCCATTGCCATCTGAAAACGTCTCTCCATATTTGCATCAGCCGCACAATATGAAAAAATATAAACATTTTTGTGTGGAAAAATACAAATATTTGCATATTCATCATGGATGGTGAGATCTCAGTATCAACAAAGAAGCACGCATCAAGCCTTTATGCTTATATTCACATCAAATTGAAACATTCAAAGTTCAAGACTTGGGACAGAGATATGATTATATAACAGCTGTTCTCGAGTAAATTGATGAAAGCTGTTATACAAGGGTTTTGTACATATGTTTTACAAACTAAAGAAGTACAATATTTCTAAGGACATTGATGTCAGTTGAAGGAAAAGGGAAACACAAACCAATCCAGTATGCAATATTTCTAAGAACATTAAGTTGTACAGACAAATGCCTCTTTTCAATTCTCCTAGAGCAAAAAGTCCTGCAAATCTCTAAGTATCAACTCCCTCTCTTAATCCATATTCACAGCTTTGCCAATACTGAGTCTGCCATCCATCAAGCCAAAATATTTCCTGCAAGAAACACATATAGACAATGTCAAAGTTGGCCTAGAAACAGGAAAAAACAAATTGCCATCTGCCAATGTAGTTTGCAATCTTCAAGTTAACATTATGTATATAATTTTGACAGGTGAATACACAAAACTCACTTTCTATCAAACCTGAGTTACAAGTATTAAGAACTAGAACTTGCCCCACTTGCACCACCTTTGGAAGCAGAAGTAGAACCAGCACCACCTTGTAATGCTTTTTAGGATCAGGAGAACTAGAACTTGCCCTACCCTTAGGAGCAGAAGTAGAACCAGCACTACCTTGCTTTGCCTTTTTTGGATCAGGGGAACTAGAACTTGCCCTACTTGCACCACCCTCCAATGCTTGTTTTGGATCAGGAGAACTAGAACTTGACCTACTTGTACCCCCCTGCAATGCTTTTTTAGGATCAGGAGAACTAGAACTTGCACCACCCTTAGAGGCAGAAGGAGAACCAGCACCACCCTGCGATGCTTTTTTTGGATCAGGAGAACTAGAACATGCACCACCCATAGAATCAGAAGGAGAACCAGCACCACCCTGCAATGCTTTTTTTGGATCAGGAGAACTAGAACTTGCACTTGCACCACTTAGAAGCAGAAGGAGAACCAGCACCACTCTGCAATGCTTTTTTTGGATCAGGAGAACTAGAACTTGCCCTACTTGCACCACCTCTAGAAGCAGAAGTAGAACCAGCACCACTCTGCAATGCTTTTTTTGGATCAGGAGAACTAGAACTTGCCCTACTTGCACCACCCCTAGAAGCAGAAGCAGAACCACCACCAATCTGCAATGCTTTTTTTGGATCAGGAGAACTAGAACTTGCCCTACTTGCACCACCCCTAGAAGCAGAAGCAGAACCACCACCAATCTGCAATGCTTTTTTCGGATCAGGAGGACTAGAACTTGCCCTACTTGCACCACCCCTAGAAGCAGAAGTAGAACCACCACCAATCTGCAATGCTTTTTTTGGATCAGGAGAACTAGAACTTGCCCTACTTGCACCCCCCCTGAAGCAGAAGTAGAACCAACAACACTCTGCAATGCTTTTTTTGGATCAGGAGAACTAGAACTTGCCCCACCCTGCAATGCTTTCTTTGGATCAGAAGGACTAGAACTTGCCCCACTTGCACCAGCCTTAGAAGCAGCAGCAGCACCCTGCAATACTCTTTGTGGATCAAGTTGACCACTGTTATAACTGGAAAGAGATAAAGATATGTCCAGCTTCCCTTTCCATTCTTCACCAGGCTTTATAGTAGTTCCTTTCTCTACACGGGCCGGCTGGACATTCACCATCTGTAGATACTCATCCTTCCCCAGTATTGCCTTGGCTTTCTTCTCCCATGGATTCCATACCCCTGTAGAAGAAAATGAAACTAGTATTAACCACTGAAAATTTTATAAATGCAGCATCATATATTATATAGATCAGTATACAACTTTTACACTAGACCACAGAATATGAACAATTCAAACACATAGCTTCGGAAATAATTAATCCTATACCAGCATCAGGAAGTCCATCTTTGCGCAATACGTATGTTTTCTTCCTTCCATGGTCTATGATAGCAATTTTGTTTGAAGTATTTAGGTATACCCTGTCAATCTTTATTATCAAGAAATGAACTGATGTAAGATTGATAGTCATTGTTGTAACATACCCTGAAAAAAAAAAAAAAGAAATTAAAGAATCATGAAAATTGAAACTAATTTGAGAATAACAACTACTAGCCTCTTCCTCAAAGGTTAATGAATCCCCTTGTTCAGTAAATCGCTCTTTGTTCTTTAAGTTGTCCAGATAATCGTATGTTTCAAACCCTTCTATACGCACTTCCCTAAATAACAGCAACCAAATGACAGAAAAAAGTTGACCATGTGAACTAGTTACAATTCGACACATTAGGCCAGAGAAGATGATGATTAACAAATTTTCACATGCTGACGACTAAGTATATTAAATGTGCATTGTAAGAAAACGTACCCTATATCAGGGACAAGAAAATGTGAATTATAAGCGAACGAGAAAGTGAAAGGTTTCCCATCTCGATTAATATTTCGAATACGAGATATCAATGTCAAGTTTCCCTCAGGTGCCAGAGATACCCTAAGACGATACTCGTATCTGCAAAAAAAAAAAAAAAAGAAAAAGAAAAAAAAAGAAAAAAGAAACAGAAAATTATATAAACTTTTTGGCTGTTGGAACAGAAAATGAAAAAGAAACAGTTGCAAGTATTGAAAGTTGTTGTTATAATACTTGTGAGGGAAAACAAATCGATCTTCATCAGAATACTTAAGAATCAAATCAATGAAAGCTCTACGAGTTCTCTCATTTGGAAGTGGTGGGGGAGAAGGGTCCACAGTCCAAAACCTGGTCCTAGCAAATCCATAGCGTTCAACGTTTCGAAACGTGAACTGTGCATATGAGGGACGACAGGGTAAGTAGTGTTTTAGGATCAGGAAATAATCGAAGGAAATAAATACATGGAAGATGAAGATTATACACACACACATACCTCAGGAAAACACATTTGTATACCACCACGTATAGGTTTTGAAGGCTTGAACTCAGCCTGCAATAATGATTCAGTTTATAATAAATACAGTACAAAAGAATCAATCTTTCAAACAGCATTGTTATAGCATTGTTTTGTGAGATTGATCAAACAGTGTTCATGAATATATATATATATATATATAGATATATATTATGCTGATGCATAAAAGATAACATGTCGTACCTTCTTACTCAGAAAGAGCATTTCTTTCCCATGATGATTCTTCCAAGATAAAACTTGCGCTCCATACAGATACACCTGTGACAGGTACATTTAAAGAAAAACAAATTGAATATCCAAGAAACAAGTTGAAAATAGAATTAATCTGAGAAGAAAAATACGGTAAGAAGTTCCAAGAAACAAATCGAAAATGGAATGATCATCATCATCATCAGAAGAAAAATAATGCAGTGACATTCCAAGAAACAAACTGAAAATATATGATGGAATCAGAAGAGAAAATGCAGTAAAAGAAACAAATCGAAAATATATAAAAGAATCAGAAGAAATCGATTACATACTTCAGCCGAATGTCCACCAACTTCTCTAAGAACGAACTTGTCGAGGCCAAAGATTCCCTTACACTGCTCCACATACACTATTTCTTCGCTTGCACTTGCGCTTGCACTTGAACTTGTACTTGCACTTGCACTTGAACTTGAACTCGCCATTATCTTCCACTGATCACACTGCTTCGTTGCACTTTCACTGCTTCTTTGTTTGTTGATTGGATCGCCAACTTCCTTTGCGGATAGTTTCTTTCGCTATTTATGGCGTTGTTGTTGCTCATGGAGTGAGCAGTGAGATGCATAACCGATTCAGTTACGTCCCTTCCACATGCAAATTTAAAATTAAAATTATATAAAAACGTGAAAAAGAAAAGAAAAGAAGAGAAAGAATGAGAACTTGTTGTTCAACGTACTACATCTTGAGTCGTTTATCGTCCTAGCTATAGAATTGTAGCAATGGTGAATGAGAAGACACATTAAATATTAAATTAAAGTTATGTTATTTAATGGTATAAATATGTCTTTAGATCAACTTTTTTTTTTTTTTTAATACCGATTCCTTCTTTAGTGTGATTGATTTACAATTATTATGTGTAGTGGATAATTTCTAATTTCTAATTTAACTATAATGGAATTTAATCATCACGCTTTTTAGATACAAGTAAAAAATAAAAAAAGAAAAAGAAAATCGTCGCATCGTGTTCAAAATATTTATTATTGATTTGAGAAAATCTCAACTTCAATTTTCAAATCATATATATAATGGATAGATAAATTTATTAATTTTTAATTGACATAATGTGACATGTTTTTTTTTTATTAAAAAAATTCTAAGTCACACATCGCTGATTGATTTAATTTAGCAATTTACTGATGTACTAATTAAAATGGAATTTTTGGGACACATATTAAATTGGATGCTCAAAATTTAATTTGATAGATTCAACATTTTAAATTAATGTTAAATATCATTAGATTACTAGAATCTCACATAATATGACTCAATTAACAAGACTGCTCATTCAATCATCATGTATTAAATTATAGATTGCGTACTCAATATTTCAAGTTTTTCGTACCAATTGCAAACAATATATATTCCTTAAAAATGGGACCCAACAAATTTAGAAATTGGTTTCAGAATATTAATTTTAATATGACTGATTGATTTAATTTTTCTCATCAAAATATAAAATGTTTTTAAGTTAATTTTCCTAGTATGAAATCCTTTGTTAATGTGATTGATTCCCTATTTTACGTTGGATTTGATAGCTTTTAAGAGAATTGCATCCAAAGACCTTCGCTATTACAATATATCCCTTTATTAGATGGTTATTTTAAAAATTATTTGATAGTTTTTAACTGTCAAGTAATGAGACGCCATATATTAATTTAACGGTTAAAAATCATCAAACATTTTAAAGATTACTTGACAATTATTTTAAGATAACCGTCAAGTAATCACTTAAATATTAGCAATACAGGTGTATTGCAAGAATATACTTGATGGTTATTTAGAAAGAATAGTCAAGTACTTTAAATAACCGTCAAGTATGCATACTTATTTGATGATTATAATAAAAAAATTGTCGAATATATTTTGGCAAATTCTTTATTACATATTCCAAATACTTGACAGTTATTTCATAATAACCATCAAATAAGTATACATACTTGATGATTATTTTAAAATAATTGTCAAGTAAACTTATGCTTGACATTTCTTTCTAAATAATCGTTAAGTATTTATGATGTATTTTTTTAAAAATTGAGGGCTGCTTGCAAATACAAAGTAATTAAATATATATACCTGTCAGTTGACAATAAAAAATAATTGAATCATTATTTATATTAAAATTACAATTTAAATATCTTTAATTTTCTATATCTACCTATACCCTAAACCTGATGCCATAAAAAATCTATAACTTTGCCTACTTTATAAGTTAAAATTTCCAAACTAACTTGCCTCTGACATAAAATTGGCAAAAAAAAAAAAATATATATATATATATATATATGTATGCCAAAACTAATTGGGCTTAATCATTGCTGCTATCCACATGTTAAACATGGCCTGAGTTACCTCTTCAAGGTTTTCTCTATATTTGCAGCTACATACCGAACACAGTAGGCATCCTAAAAATACTGTGTGCAAAGAGTTACAACAAATTCAAGTTAATAACTATTTAACAAAAGTTGTTAAAATTTATAATTTAAGTGTCATTACATTTAATATATACCTTGTTATGTAATGTGGTAAGGACATGTGTGATAATGTTCTTCAGGAATCTCATCAAGTAATAGCCACAGTCATTGCTCTGATCTGATTGGAGTGGACACCGTGAAAAAAAAATCACATATTAATAAAATAATAGTTAAAAGATCACAATTTGTTGATTAAAAACTCAGCCCATTAGGTTTACCTTAACTATGACCCATGTCTCACAAGAGTTCAATGCCCTTAAGCTGGGGGATAAGGTCGTGTTGGTTGCAGTAGAATACAAGACCATAGCTTTGAGAAGGAAGTAAAAAATAAATTTCAAAAATTCAATATATATGGATATTAAAATAACAATTGATAAAAATTTAACTTATTTATTAAAAAGTTCTAACATATCTGGCCTATTTGTTGCTTAGTTCTCCATTAAGAGGATCGAGATATCAAATTTTTAGAGCAACAGAGTTAACCATAATAAGCATCCAGTACCTCTTAATAAAAAATAATAAGTGTTATCAAATACGTAAATATAAAAAATATTTACTTGTACCAAAAATAGCTAGAAAGTGGCTCACCCTTGGCAATAAGAAGCAAGAAATAAAGTATCATTACCTGCTCCTCTATCTTTGAATTGATCCAAAAGCTGCCTTGCTTAATTTTCAAGAGCTTCCTTTATAATTCCATTATAGGCAGAGACATTGTGGAAATTAATCAGCTTGAATCTCGACTCAAGGCCACTAGGAACCATAAATGAGGTATAAAGGTGGTTAGGTGAAAAAAATAACCAAGTTAATACACGCTCATGCACACACACATATATATAATTTAAGTAATTAACTGAGCATTATAGAAGAAATACCTCATATAGAAGCTCATCAGATTAGTATTGGCCATTTTTTGCTCGAGAATTTCATTTAAAATTTCATCCCGGACAACTTCAAACAGGCTTCTTGTTTTACAAAAGGCTGTTATAAAGGAGGAACTCGAGGTACAAATTTAGCATCAGGATCTTTCAAATATCTTTGTGTGATGAAATATTTGAAAGACCGTAGCGCCCTTCCAGCCTTTTGTAGGACAAAATTTTGCTTGCACTCATCAATGTCAAATCCTGACTATAAAATAAAATAAATAACATATCAAATGTATTAATTTTAAAAATAGTTTATACTATAATATACTTAGTAAAGTGTAATTTACCGCTATAGTACCCCAAACAAGAGCCTTCGTGGCCTCATCTACTTTGCACCATGATTTTACTGTGATAGGCATAGTAGTTTTTGCCACCACCCTAATATAACTTATGAATTTTGAGGATTTAATTGCTTGCCCTTTCATGTTCCATTGCACATCAATTTTTTTCCTGCAGCTCTTGTCTTTATCACCTCTTCCATTATCATTAGACCCTGTTGAATATTATTGTACTCCTGCTCTAGCTTTTTTTGTATACTTGGAACCTTAATCGAATTTGTAACTAAAATTGATGAAGGGGTATTAATAGACTCACTATCAGAAGCCATTTATTTGTAAAGGAAGACAATTAAATGAAACATTAATTAACTTAAATAAAATTCACACAATTAATTCAAACATTAATCAACTTAAATAAAAATAACACAATTAATCAACTTAAACAAAATTCATACAATTAATTCAAACATTAGTCAATTAAATAAAAAGAACACAATTAATCAATTTAAACAAAAAGTTCCATCATTCAAATTCTCATATAACTTAATTATAATCAATCAAGTTATCCAACAATAATTGATATAAAAATTTTATCCTAAAAAATTCGATAGCATAATAGCTTAAAAAAGAGAGTTTTTCAGGTTTTAAACCCTCTCTTTATTCAAAAATTTCATCATTCACAAGTTCTCATATAATACTTATACCCAATCAAATTATCCACAGCAACAATCAATACAAAAATTTTATCCTAAAAATTTAATATAACTTAATCATATCTAATTAAGTTATCCAACAACAAAATTATTACCATTACCACAATAAGGGAAGTAAATTTTCAACAAATTCATATAATACCCAACAGTAAATTAATTTTCATATAATCTTAAATTTAATTTCATAACTAACAAAGAATAAAAAACCAAAGTCTATATATATTCAATCACAAATCATAGTTCTAATGAACAAAAAATTCATATTCCAATCGCTAATTCTAATCAACTCCCTAATTACAATCAATTGACAATAATATCACAAGGAAGAAAGATAAGCCAACTTACTTAAGAGAGGCAAAGCACGAGGATGAAGAAGAAGGGTAGGGGAAGGAAAAGAGAAGACAACTCACATTTTGCACTATTGAAAAGCAAGTAGGGGAATTTTAAGTTAAATTTATCCTAAATATTAAACCTAAAAACAAATTAAACAGATGAAGGAGAAATTAAACTTACATATGAAGGATAGAGAATGAACCCAAAACGCTCGAAATGCAGATTTAGATGAACGAACAACATACTAACTCCAAAAAATAAAACCCACGAGCAAAACTCAAGAAGAATCGAGTCTAAATATGTGTTTTTAGGTAATTTCAATGATGAAAAAATCATTTTGGGTGTATTTTTGAAAATATTTAAGTTGTAAAAATGTGAAAATGAAAGGTTATAGAGAGTAAATTTAAAAAAAAAATACTTGATGGTTATTTTATAATAACCATCAAGTATTCCTTACTTGACACTTGTTATTAAATAACTATCAAATAAAATACAGATATACTTGATGGTTATTAATGAATAAGCATCAAGTAATTAGTTTTTTTTATTTTTTTATTTAAATCATATATTTGATGTTTGTTTACAAATAACTGTCAAGTACATACTTGACTACTTGACAGTTATTTGTAAACAAGCGTCAAATATATTTATAAAAAAAACTAAATCTAAGATGCATATATATTTGATGGTTATGTCAATATAATCGTCAAATATATACTAAATACTTGATATTTGTTTTTAAATAACTGTCAAGTA